CTCTTTTTCTCTCTCTTTCCATACATATATCATGATATTGTAAATATATCACTGTATTATGCACACAAATATGTATAATTACCATATAGGGCAAAAATGTTATAAAAAACAAAATGATTTAAGAAAAATTATAGATTATATAACCGTAAAAATATGAGTCATCATTTTCAATCACCCGACATGTGTGTATTTGTGTATGTGTGTTTGTGTGGTGTGTGTGTGTGTTTGTGTATGGTACGTGTGTGTGTGTGTGTTTGAAACCTGCATACATTTCAAAAATAATTAATTTAATCAGATGAATAGTTATATATGATTCATATCAAATCATATTTCAAATAGAATAAATAGAGAAAAAAGAGGAGAAATAGAAAGAGAGAGAGAGAGAGAGAGAATTGCATCGAATTTCCACAAAACATAGATTGATTGATTTGTGGAATTATCCAATCATAATATTTGAAGGAAACAGATACTAAAGGATATATATATATATATATATATATATATATATATATATATGTATATATATATATATATATATATACTATATACTATATACATACACACATATTTGTATAAAAATCGTCATAAGTTTAATATTAAGTATTTTCTAAACGAATTCAGATGTTTCAGCTTCAATTGAATATAGAAAGGTATTAGTCATTTTAGTTTTAAGAAATTGTTATTGCTTTTTACTCAGTTACTTACAAATTGTCACCAGATTTTTATTAAGTTTGAATTTTTAAAATAAAAAACAAGAAGAAAGTCATGGCTAAAGAGAAAAGGTTGGTCGAAGAAACCAGGGAGCAAAGCATTTCAGAAATAAAACACAAAACCCAATATTTGCGGCAACGGACGCAGCCACATCGACCACCACCAAAACTGCGACTACCCCGACCACAGAAACAACTGAAACAACAACTACTGCAACTACAACAACCACAGCCACCTCAATGTAAACAAGGTACTTCTTTCAAGATCCAACAAAATCTGACAAACGAATTTTGTATTTCTTCAACTTCAGAAGGAATTGAACGACAAGTTGAAGATGACATCAGCAGTAGTCCGTTTAACGTTGACAACATCAACAACTACAGCATCAACACGGATGAAAACAATAACATTATTTTCTTCAATGGCAGTAACTTTAACGACGGCAAACTGAACTTAAACAACAAAGTCAAGAATGGCAAACATTTTGAAAACATCAATATACTACCGACATCAACAACACATCACTACATACCATCGCTGTTATCACCATCTCTAACTCCATCATCATCTTCTTCTTCTTCATCATCATCAAAACTACTAACATCATCATCGTCTGCATCATCAAATCACCAGGCAACGTCATTAAATTCTTTAAGCTCATCATCATCATCGTCATCACCATCGTCACCATCATCATCATCACTATCATTATCATCACAATCATCATCATCGAAAGCAATGCTTCCATTGAACCAGGCCTTTAGCAGATTGAAGAATGTCCTCCCAAAACTTCCACACGATAAACTGAGCAAGATTCAAACCATCAAACTGGCAGCTTACTACATCAACTTCATGTATTCGCAACTGAAGGAGAATGAATGAATGAATGAATGAATGAATGAATGAATGAATGAATGAACGAACGAACGAGCGAACGAACGAACGAACGAATGAATGAATTAATGAAAGAATGAATGAATAAAATAGATGAATGAATGCGTATATTTAACGGCTAGTCAGCAGAAAGAATGAATTTTTAAAATCAAGTCTTTATAACAACACAACTGATAGTAATTAATTACTGCCCAGAGAACACGGGGAACGAGCGAAACAAAATGAGGATGGAATGATAATTACAAGATACATTCAATGATGATGATCAGACGATAATTATGATTATAATTATCATTATTATTATATCATTATCAGTTATATTATAACAATTTTGATGAGGTTAATAATGTTTAACAACGTGTTGCAATTTCAATAAAATACCTTTTATTTTTTAGTAAAACTAGTTCAACTTTAACACGTACCCAAACACATATTTACATACATATATGCTATATATATATATATATATATGCTATATATATATATATATATACATCGGAGTTTTTTAAATTTTATTCAACGTTACAAACGTTGATTCGTCTGCAATGATGACGAACTGTTTGCCGCTCCAGATGGTTCTCCGTGCGACGATCCACCACAGCTGCTGTTTGCAAGTGACATCCAGTTCTGAAGCTTCTGACGGTTCCTTTGTATGATACACTCTTTTCTTTCTAATTCACTCTTCAGATCTTCGATATTTTCTCTCGCGTCTTGATCTGCTGCAAGGATTAATTGCTTTTCTAGGAAGAAATTTTCCATGAGTCGTGCGGCTTCGTTAAATTTGTTGAAAGTCACCTCAACGTTAAGTTTAAGTTCAGATGGGTCTGCATCTGCACTCGTGTTGCTGGGCGCTCCCTCTGCCATCAGAGTCAGACAATCGTGGAAGGCCGTTTCAAACTTCTCCATCAAATTTGGCTTCTCTGCCATTTTAGGGATTGTTGCAATGCTCTTTCACACAATTAACAAAATAAACAAAAATCTTGGAGATCTCCGAATAAGAGAGAAATTTGATGATATTAAATTTTAAAGAATTTTTATAATGAAAGTCTATTTATATAATTCGATTTACAAGCACAGATGTTCTATTTGTACGATTTACAACCCCAGATGTATAATCATAGATAAATAATTATTTAATTATCACCAAAGATTATGTAGTAAAGTTAATGATTAACAATTTTGCTTAGAGAATATTTTTTCTACTGATCAAAATTAACATTTTCAAAATTTTCATGAAACTGCATCAGCGCCAGCAACAATCTGTTTCATGTTTCACATTTTTTTCATTCAATCATTCCAAAAAAAAATACGGAAATGCCAAGAAATCATTATAAATGGTATAAACCAAGAAATCGTTTAGAAAAACAACACGGCAACAACCCAGCAACAACAACTCAGCAACAACCCGGCAACAAAAACACAGCAACAACACAGCAACAACACAGCAACAACAACGCAACAACAACGCAGCAACAACACAGCAACAGCATGTCAACAGAGGACAAAACGTTACCATTCCATCACGCGTACAACATTGTTGTACAAGGTTTTAAAAATTCATGAGGCAAAAATGTTCACAAGTGTTCCAACATCGACAAACGCATGTGTGTACGCACATGATGTGTACGTGTATATATGAGCATGTTTACGCACGTGTGTTCGCACGTTTGTACGAATTTGTATGCATGTTTGTGTCTACACGTGCTTCAGTACGTCACGTGTGTGTATTTTTGTAAATTTACGGATAAACGCGTAAACATGTGAAATTGTAATGAGTTGTGGGTTTAATAGAATGTGTGTGCGTGCGTGTGTGTGAACATAGAAGCATTAAAATATTCATACTTGCTGGTTTTAACACGGAGTAATGTATTTATTAAGATTGCGCTTCTGCGGTTTAACGACAAGTTACGGTAATGACAGAGTAAATTAAAAAACCCGTGCACACAATGGCGTACACCATTGTATGAAATGTACAAAGGCGTACACACAGCATGTTCATATTTGTGTATTTATGGTGCAGTGTACGAAACTTCATGTATATATTATTTTCCTCAAATACAAATAAAAACTGTGCGTATTTACATATAATTTATGTATGTACATTAACGTGTTTTCAGCGTGTTAGCGCGTATTTAGGTGCGTTTTCAATTCTTATGTGCGTTTTATGGAGAGAGCAGTTCGTAAAGTAAATTGTCGAAAGATTAAGAGAAGCATGAAACGCGCACCGTAACACTTGCTCGCTCGTATCATTCACTCAGTTAGTTAGTTGGTTAGGTAGGTAGGTAGGTAGGTAGGTAGGTAGGTAGGTAGGTAGGTAGGTAGGTAGGTAGGTAGGTGGGTAGGTGGGTAGGTGGGTAGGTGGGTAGGTGGGTAGGTGGGTAGGTGGGTAGGTGGGTAGGTGGGTAGGTGGGTAGGTGGGTAGGTGGGTAGGTGGGTAGGTGGGTAGGTGGGTAGGTGGGTAGGTGGGTAGGTGGGTAGGTGGGTAGGTGGGTAGGTGGGTAGGTGGGTAGGTGGGTAGGTGGGTATGTGGGTATGTGGGTAGGTATGTTAATGGGTTCCATTGTTACTATGCGCAAGTCATAAACTTCTAAAACCTGTCCGTTTTATTGATGGAATGTAAAAATTAATCGTTTCGAAACATCTCGACGAAGTTAAATCGTTTGAAACCTTTCAACTAGGCCCTGATTTATTCTAAAATAAATATGTTAATAGATAATATCGTTATAATCACATATATATATATATTATATATAAAAGTTAAAAATTATTTAGACACAACTCTCGGCCAGCAGCTACAACAACTACACTGTCGGCAACAACAACCACTGGCGACAACATCAACCACTACACTAGCGACAGCAGCTACAACTACTACTACTACTACACAAACGACAACGACACATTTCAGAACGCTCGACCGCAAACAAAGTCCTCATTATCACCATCCCTATCAAAACGACAGAAGTACCAACAACGTCAACCTTGCCATCCTCATCATCGTCGTCGTCGTCATCATCATCAGTAGCATCATCATCAGTAGCATCATCTTCAGTAGCATCATCTTCATCATCAATTACAAGTGAGTACAAAGTAAAACAATAAAGGTATGCTGACGTAAAAATTCATCATTGGCGGGACGGCTAACATACATAAATACAATTACCCACGCGTATACACACACACACACAAACAAACAAACAAACAAAGGCACACATACCAATGTATACACATTACACATCTAACAACAGTTTAATACTGACAATTACAACTATGTAAACATACACATATAATTCAGATATAAACAGACAAAACAAATAACTATATGCATTTTCAAAAACATATATATGCATATACATAATTGAATACATATATATTCTATATCATTTATATAAATATATATGACCCCATGGTTACATACAAATAAATATTAGTCTAAAGACAAACATTGAACGTTTTAAACACAAACATACAGACAGATACACTTAGACATACTTATACAATGGCAAATGTTGTAGCCATAAAGGCAAAAATACTAAACTAATTAAACAAACAAAGACAATCATTTGTTCACTTGCAATGCAAAAAACAAACATGAGCCTATATGAACGCACGCACATGCAAAAACATGAACATACATACACAAACATACAAACACATACAAAAACATACAAGCATATACAAACTGAAGACATAAAGATACAAAGACCCCACTTAACGACACGAGATAAAACGGACAATTTGGAAACACGGACGACCTGAATGAAGAGATACACGCAGGTATGCAAATATACAATGTACACAATTATTTCACCGTACCCAACATACACACACACACACACACACACACACACACACACACACACACACACACACACACACTACGTACACAATTATTTCACTGTATACAACATACCAATACAGTGTACAACACACATATATCAATACCAGAGTTACAAATATTGACACAAATTTTAGCGCCATGATAAATCATAAAGACATAGATGATAAAATCATGCAAACATAGCAGTTTACAACATAGATCTCTACAAAAAATATGCAAGCAAACATTAAAATATACAAAATCACATAAGCATACAAAGATGCAATTGTACAAAGAATGTATCCGTCCACTTATACCATGATATCCATGCACATGTACACAACAGCGTAGGTCCGTGCATTCATTCATTCATTTCTAGGTAGATACATATTTAATCTCATAGAAAGAGGTGTTGTAGCAGGCAGGCAGGCGCACATTTTGACAAGAGGAACATCCTTCACGACACGTCCTGGGATTTGGCGGAAAGAAACAAAAGAAAAAAATGCAGATATGCCAGCGAAACTCGAGTGCACTGGCATTACTTTGCAGGACGTATCTCCTCTGAATTATCTAAAATGCAACGACAGTCGTGGCGCAACTTCACTGTCGACCGCCGCATGAATCGTGCCTTCACTCGCTGCACACGCTCGTCTGTACTGGTGTATATTTTATATTTTCAGCTCGATGTGATAGGAAACAGGTGAGATTTGTATTGCTCGTTTTGCTGAACTGTATGTAGATGAATTGTGTTGTCGTCGTCGTGACATGATGATGTGACGTACTGATTAATGTGAGAGGTGGACTTGTAACTTGTTTACTCAGGATGAAAATATACTGTGTAGTTACATCTGAAATTTTGTCGCTTCACTTTCTTACGTTTGAATTGCTTGACGGTTTTGAACACAAAGTTAAACTTGTAAAAATGTTGATTGTTATTAATAATGGATTGTTGGATCAATTGAACGCTCATATTTTTTGATTTTTCAAATTGTTTAGTGTTATTATTTTGAGCTGAGAAAACAAAAATAAAACAAAAAATTAAAATAATAATCAAAAGAAAATAAAATTACAACATTTTATCACACACAGCAAGTTACAACATTTCATTACAAAAAGCAGGCTAGTAGACAATCAAGATGGATATCTTGGCAGATGTTGTTTTCCATCGGGGATGTTGATGGAACACGGAATGGAAAATATCAACCAGAAAGTTTGCAGTGAAGAGCGCACCTGTTCAGCCAAGATCCCAAAATTTTTCATGATGGATTTTTTTTAAATTCTCTGGCGGAAAAGTGAATTTAAAATATATTTAAAAATTGTCATCAAGCACTTTTTTAAGACTTTTATAGAACAAGTTAAAAAAGTTGGGCAGTTCATTGAATGATTATAGCCTTTTTAATGTTTATGACATCAAAGGTTGCTCGGTTCGGCTTGCCGTCGTCTTTACATCCAGTGGAATTTTATGACGATCAAATATTTATAACCAGCCACAACAATCTCTGAATGCCGAACGAACAAAATCTAATTTAAGTAGAAGGACAAATTTGCAAATATCTTTCTATGAAAGTTTCTTTAAATTCGGAAAAAATATTTGGCAACATTCGTGCCCGTTTCAGAATGCACCAGATATAAAAATAACAATTGAATGAATACAAAATCTGGAAAATCGTAATGGAAAATTTAAAAAAAAACGCCAAAGTCGCACACACGCACGCACACACGCACACACACACGCACACTTTGTCATAATAAGGTAAGACATATTGATGTTACCTTCATTAATATTACATTGTTGATGTTATAACTTTAGCTGTTACACTTATATCAATGTATCACTTATTAATGTTACAATGATGTTGTTGTTCTTTTTTTTCCCAACATACTTTCCCTCTTTTCGCAGCTCAAATTCATTGCAACAGTGCCGCGAATCCTCGCTAATGAACGTTTTAAACCTCGCCGTCACCTTTGACAACATCAACAACAACATCCACAACATCAACAACTATAAAAACATTATCAACAACAACAACATCATCAACAACAACATCATCAACAACATCAACAGCAACAACAAC